TTTATTTATACTTCCTCTGCTTCTAAGAAGATCAGCCTTTTTCTCCTTCCAAATTTTGGTAATTTTCATTCTTCCACTCTCAAAATTGATCCTTCAAAGTTCAAGTCCCTCAGTTTTTTCTGATAGAGACGGTCTGGTGGTTAAAGCTTGGTAACTTGAATTCAAGCTTTTGCCATGATGATTTAATCCCACCCAAAATCCTTGACGTTCCTTGTGGTGCCTCATTTATATATTGTAAAATCGCCTGATTACACCGTTGAATTTCCTTGTCCTCCCTTCGTTTCTCTTAGAAAAGAAACACATAAAAAATAGCAATTGTTTTCTATTTTCGGTAAAGATGTCTGCTCCTATGTCGGTATAGATAGCTCCCATGTCCTTTTCCAGGTCATGCTCAAACGCAGTACTGGATTTCTAGTGCAGAGAGAATTTTGTTGTTCTTGATCCCATTCTTCTACCTGTTTTAATTGATTTAAATAGAGTGCAAAATGAAGGGAGTGTGCCATGTTTTATGGCATGGAAATATGTCACTCTTTAGTAGACAACGGCTTCCCACCAGTGATTGGCCACCTGCTGTAGATTTCTTAAACGCTAGCATCGTACTTGCTTCTATATCAGGTACCAATGATGAGGAATTCTCTGCTGCAACTGCTTTCTCTGTTGCACCGTTGTGTTTTTCTTGTAGTATGCCTTAAGATGTTACGAGTTAAGCCCTTTTGATGCGCAGATCCATCACGGTAAAGAATTTAGTAGTGGCAGTCAGAAACTACTAGGAGAAGCAAAATGAGAATCCAGCTGTGGTATGCAAGAGAGACCACATAGGACATAGCGAAAGAATTGATTAAGCTGCTAGACTCCAAGAAAATCCATCGAGTTTATGTTGTGGATGATGAAGGAAGTCTGGAAGGAGTGATCACACTCAGAGACATAATATCGAGGTTAGTACATGAGCCCCGTGGAAACTCGGTGATTTCTTTAATGGCGTTTTGCCTCTTACCTGCAAACAGCAGGTTTTGAAGAGTATAAGCCTGGAAGTTGTGTTCAGCTTCCAGTTGATTTTTCTGATGACTGATTCCATCTTCGTGTGATGAATATCACTTTTTGGTGACTGTGACATAGCTTGATATGCAAAGTTCCCATGTGATTATTTTTCTTTCCAGTTTTACATGTTTTAGTTTTTCTGTAAATTTTGATGAAACTCTGTATGAGCCGATCTCCACTCTAGTCTAATGAGGCAGCTTTCTTCATGTTTTCTTCTTTGTTTGAATAACTGATTGTAAATTAGTTGTCTGTTTAATTTTGATCGTCCTTAATCTTTTTAAATCATTGTTGGCACATTTAATTGTGGTGGCAAATTCTAAAATAATTTTGAGAGGTCAGATCCTAATTGTTAAGATTTTTAGTTTTTGTTTAATATCAAATTTGAACTTTGAAACAACTGAATTTTTTTTTTAATCAAAACGTTAATAGTTTAAAAGTATGATTATTTAACCCTTTAATTTTAATATTAAAAAATTCTAAATTAATAGATATAAACTTGAAAAAACCTTTTATCGTATAACTTCTCATCAACTGTATTTAATTGTTGAGTGAAAAAATCTCTCGTCAAGTTTAAAAACAAAGAAATATGTAGAGTAAATAAAAAAAAACTATTTCATCTATTATCAATTAATTTTAAATTAGATACAATGCTTATGTTGAAACATGATATCAAAATCTAGGTTCTATCATAAGAAGTTCATTATTAACCCATCTGACATGACTTGAAATTAAAACAATACCAAATCTGCATTTAAGGGAGTATGTTACCCGACATTCATGTGAGTTAAGTGGAAAAATCCCACATCAAATCTAAAAACAAAGAAGTACATGTATTAAATACAACAAAAACTATTTTACCTGTTACTAATTGGTTACAATTTTCATATAAAAGTGGAACTTTTTAAAAGTTATTAATATTAAAAATTATAGAATTTCTTCCTGCTCTTTTGATGGGATACTACTTTGATGTATCCCAACCAATAAAGACCCTTGTATTGTCTCAAATCCACTTGTTATTTTAAAGACGCTTAACACACAGTGCTCTAAAGACCCAAAAGGAAGAACTCACTTCTGTTCACATTTAATAATAAAAAAGGCATACCGGACACCATTGTATACCAATTAACACTAGAACACTGCAATTAACAGAAGGTAAGATATGCAGCTTGCTCCCCCATTTCTTTATACCAAGTTCTACTACACCTTAAAAAATTGAAGTATGATAGTTTTCTCTCCCCCAGATGCCAAAAAGAGGAAAAAAGAAAGAAAAAATTCAAAGCACAGAATCTCCTAACTGCACCATCACAAGAACAACAACAATGTTAGTTAGTATATCAACTTGGCTCAATATCCACGCCAACATGTATAAACTAACGACACATCAGATTTTGCAGTTTAGGAAATGGAATAGAGGTTGCAAAAAACATCAGTAAATTCCATGTAGTATCTTCATCCACATTTGACAAAACCCTTTTTTTACACATGCATGTAGCAAGAATTTTTACACTCGACAATATGGAGCATCTCAACGTTTGAAATCCATCAACTAATGCTTGCAGTAGTAATACCACTACCACTGCCATGTCAATTGGTCATTTGGTATTTACGAAGGAAAATCCATGAACCATGCGATTGGCAAATCCACACATAGAGAAAATATTGTCTATAAAACATGTACAAGATACACCATATAAAGGAAATTGACAGTTGACTTTCACAAAAACCTGTGTTTATGACATTAAATAGATAAGACATACACATATCATCAGGATAGGTGCAACCTTTGATCCAACTAGTCCTTGGTGAGCACAGGGAACATACCTGTTACATGAGTACTATATACTATGTACTCTTTCTTCTCATGTGGTGAAGAACAAGAGGGGATCCTTCAAAGAAATCTGATAGATAACTTTCTAAATCTTCTGGTGTATACTTAATGTACTTTCCAGCATGCCTTCCGCTCTCTAGCTGACTACCAAACCTCCCCATAAAGGAGCGGTAAGCTGGAATTACTTTCTCTGATATGGATATTCGGAGCTCTTCACGAAGTTGAGAATCCGGCACTTTCCAAGCTGTCTGAATCCTATACAATTCTTCAAAACATGCATTGAAACTCTTAAATCTTTCCTTCAGAGCCACCTTTGAGGCATTACCAGTGCTCCCACCAATACCTTCATCCTTCAAACAAGAAAGAGCCTTACTCCAAGAAGCCCTCAGATAACTGGTAGCATACTGGCGAATCTGGCCACGCCGCTTGCGAACCCAATTATCTCCCAAGAGCTTCCCTAGTTCAGAATCCTTCACTTTCTGAACCACATACAGAATATTATTCATTAAAAATATGTACTGTAATGCATTGTCATCATACACTTTTGATTTCTCCTCTAGATTTGATTCCAAAGAGGATATCACCAGGAACAACCGTTTGGCAAAGGGAGTTGTACTCTGCAATCGATGATTATCACCTGCTTCACCATGAAATCTATCTGCTTCGTCCTCATCAGTCTCTAATATTGAATCTAGAGTCTCGCTATAATCCACAAGCAGCTTCAAGTAGTTCATCACATACCTAGTGGCTGGATGAATCTCCCCATTTTGCATGGGTCTTCTCGAGGGCTCATTCTGCACTGCATTCTGTAACTCCAAAAGGGTCCCTTTTGCTGCCTCCTCTAATCCATGCAACACTCCCTTTGCCTCAGTACATATAAGCTTATCGGTAACCATTTCCTGCAACTCCGGCAATGCATCTGCAACTGCATCATACATGTCCAAAATTCTGAACAGCTTCTCAGACGACCTGTGCCCAATAGCCACGGCCTCCCCAAAATTCAACAACTGCATAAGACACCCTTTTGCGGTCTCATTAAAACAAATCTCCTTAACGGAATCTGAAGCATTGAAAATCTGCTCACAGAGCCTTCTCTCACGATTCAAAAGAACCCTAACAGTAATCTTGACCGCTTGAATCCACTTCTTCATTTTCTCATCCAAATCCTTCCACTCAATTTTCTGAACCTCCTCAATACTCAATTTCTCAATTCCGAGAATCACCAAACACTCATCCAAAGCATCACGCCTAACATTACAATAAACCTGAACACACTCCTTCTCATACCCAGACCAGATCATTCGGTCTGCAATTTCCTTCAAATCAATCAAAGCATCAGCATTTATCAAATCAACACACACATCATCACGCAAACTCGGTCCACGCTCATGAAAACATCCCCTCTCTCTATCAACCTCTCCAAAACTCTCGAATTCTTCATCAATCGATGGAAAAAACTGCTCACCTCTCCGGATCGATCCGTACAGCCTTTCCGCATCGAGAGGTACAGTATTGCTGATCAAGATGTGGCGAAACTCATCCTCCAGCCTCGACATGGCCATCTGAATAGCAGTCTCAGCCCGGTCCATAATTTCGTTATCAGACCTAATCGTCAAATCCCCAACGGACTGCAGTATATCGTCGATTGCCGAAAAATACTCATCTACTTCCTCCGGGGCCTCCTCCCAGGGGAGCGAGTGGTGGCGAGAGGAGCCAGAGGAGGAGGTCTCCCAACGAAGGATGACCTTCTCCGCGGCGTCCAGGCGTCCCTGGGCGGTGTTGGACTCGTCTTTGACCAAATCAGTGATGTGCGACAACCGATTGTCAAAGCTGGAGAGAATTAAGAGCATGTCCTCACGAACCTCCTTCGGAGTATTGAGGCTGTTAACGATCTGTTGCGCGGTGGCCAAAACTCGGTCCTCGCCGGCGGTTCCGAGACTGGTAGTGGTGGTGGTAGCCATCGCAATGGATACTGGTGTATCCGTTCTAGGGTTTTGGGAAAGATTCAAGGATGGGCAAGGTCGAAAGCTAGGCCGGTAAAACCGAAACGGGCATTTTTTGGGGGAAATGGTAAGAAATGGGTTTTTCCTTTTTCTGAAAATTGAAACTGAAAGTTGGAAAATTGTAAGGCCGGCTGCTGTGCTATTCGTCTTCGGAAGAAACGGAGGAAGTAACGTTAGGAATGTTTTATAGGATCGTGCTCCAAACTGCTCAGGAGTCAGGAGTCAGGACAGCGGAGTTTTTTGGGTTTTTGCTTGCTGCGGTTACGTGCTGGTCTGTTTAGTTAGGCTTCGTTTGGAAACACTTGTTCCTTTTTGTTTTTATATTTCTTTTTATCTTAAAGCTGTTTACAGGAGGATTATATACAATTTATTTTAAAAAATTATTTAAATATTTTTAATAAAATAATATAAAAATAAATTTAAAAATATTTAAATAATTTTATAAAATAAATTAAATATAATTTATTTTATTTTTCTATTATTTTAAAAACATATGTAATGTTAATTAAAATAAATATTAAATATATAATATATTATATATATATTTTTTGAATAAATTCACAAAGAGTAAAAATCAAACTGTTATCTTAAGAAAAATATATATATATATATATATATGACTTCACGCGACTAAATCGAAGGCATAAGTACATATATTTTATATTTTTTTTGAACATGCATATATTTTATATTTTTGAAGATGTCAAAAGGTTGAAAATTGATACCTGCAGGTACAGACGGTACTGTCACTAAGCTAGAGGCTGAGTTAATTTGGTCCC